AATCCTTGTTATATTTAACTGTTTTGATCATCCAGTGCTGTTATTCATTTCCTTCTGTAGTGGGCTGAATCATGGCCCCTAAAAAGATATGTCTAAGTTCCAATCCTGGGAACCTGTGAATGTGACCTTATTTGGAAAAAAGGTCTTGGCAAATGTAATTAATGATCTTGAGATGAGATCATCCAGTATTATCACGGATGGGTCCTAAATCCAATGGCAATCGTCCTTATAAGAGACAAGAGAAGGCACAAAGAGAAGGCCCTGTGAAAACAAAGGCAGAAATGGGAGTGATGCAACCATGAGGAATGCTTTCAGCCACCCAAAGCTGGAAGAGACAAGAAAGGATTCTTCCCTACAGTTTTCAGAGGAATCTCGGTCATGCCAACACCTCGATTTCAGATTTCTGCCCTCCAGAACTGTGACAGAATAAATATCTGTTGTCTTAAGCCAAGTTTGTGGGACAGCAGCCACAAGAAACTAACATTTGTATTTTCCTTTATATTTGTACTGAACAGCACTCTATAGATCTGACCACCAACTCACAGAAAATGCAGGGCTGCGAAACAGGTTAAATGTTAACAGGGAATGCAGTCCACAAAATTCAGGCTGTGGGAAATTCTACAGAGTAAACTATCTGTCTCCACAAATAAATTACAAGGAACCAAAAAAATTGGAGTGGAAGCTTATAGATGAAAACAGACTTAAAAGATATATCAACCAGTCACAACCAATTTGGGTTCTGATTCAAAGTGTAAAAAAACTCCAATATAGGAGAAAACCAGAAATGTGAACACTATGTATTTGATATTAATTAATTTATTGTGATTTTTTAATGTGATAGTGATATTGTGGTCTTATATATTTCTTAAGCCCTTTAGAGCTGTATCTGAAATATTTATAGATGAAATAATAGGATATCTAGGATTTGCTTCAACTAGTGGCCAGAGTGAGAGGTGAAACAAGATGACCACGAGTTGATCATTGACACTGGGTGATAGGTACATGAACGTTCATGGTAACATTTCCTCTTATTGTGTATGTTTGAAATTTTTCATAATAAAAAATTAAAACGAAGAAAAAATCCTAATCTGATTTAACACAAAGATTTTTTTTTTGGTAACTGGTAACACAAAGACTTTTTAAAGTTTCTTCAAACACCTCGTTCTTTTCTCATCACCAGCCTGGAATGTTATCAGTCAACCCTAAATACAGTCAAGGAAAATA